ACCGGCTCTGGGGCCACCCCAGCCTCCTACTCAAGAGGGCACCAGGTACTCCTTTCCCCAGGGTCAGGAAGCCGGGGCGTGAAGCCAACCACACACCCCCATCTAGGTTCAGAATACATGGATCTGTACCTCTTCATGGCGTGGTGTTTAATTACTTAAGCACAAAGATAACTTTATAACAACTTTATATCGATCTTACCATATTTCCGTTCAGTGCTCCCAGTTTCATGAACGTGGGGACTTCAGGGCTCCAGAAGCAATACATGATCCAGTCTTTATGTACCAAATTAAATGAGACTGCTTTTCATTTCACACAAACTCGTAGGAGTAGTGGGAAGAACCCTCCCCCCCACCGCCACTGCCCTTCTTTTTCCCCTAGACACAATCCAGCCCAGATCAGGAACAGCCTCTGTATTTTAGGCGACTGGAGGTTATCACGTATAGACCGAATATGGATATAAATACAAGTGGTTGTAGAAGAGTTTACAACTCTTTGCTATTTGTAACGGACACTTAGCTTCGGGATGGAGATTATGACTTCGTAAAGGTTCGCAAAGCTAGTAACCATTGTTCTGAACGATTAGCTTTTTCTTTAGGAAGTAGAATTCAGTTTCAGCTTCGACTAATTTATGTTGAGCTGATACAAATTAAGTTAAATTTGGCTGTAGCGTTTAGTGTACACCCACAAATACCAGTCGTTAGACAGATGCATGCAGTAGTACCGAGGACTCACGATGCGGACGGACAGAAACGGTGTATTATGTTCATGTTTTATATAATTCGTGCAACTAACTTGTGACAGCGAACATTTAACGTAAAATTTATAGTGCCAAACTGTATGATATTTAATGTAATGGTCTTACCCTTTACGCCCCGAAAAATGTTAGTGTATAAAAACATATTTGATTTAGCAGTGGTTTGTTGAACAGCGCTGGCGGTATCTCAGACTGTGCGGGTCGAATGGTGGGACAGTAGTGAATAACGAATTGGTAAGTATATGGAAGGAAGCGATCGTAGAATAATTGCGGTTACTGCCCCAGTATAACCTGCAGGGGAACAAAAGATTTTCAGAATATCTTGTCTCTGTGGTTCTTGAATTCGAAGCAGGACGTCGGTAAATATGTTAGAACAATTAGAAAACATACTGAGTCTTATAACCACGTCACCGAATATTGCCACATAAGGCTGCTTGCACTTTATAGAGAGTTTGTAGGGAGACAGTTTGGAATATAACAACCCCCCAAAACCTGTATGTTTCCTCTTAATAAAGTCTATTTGCCCACTCTAGACTCTGTATTGAACAGATCGCTGAGGAGAATATTTTAATCGAAGAGAGATGAAGTGACAGAAGGTTAGAGAAAACTGCATAATGAGGAGCTTCATAACTTGTACTCTTCGCCAAGTATAATGATCAAGTTAAGGAGAGTGAGATGGGCAAGGCATGTAGCACGAATTAAATTTATGAGGTATGCATATAGGGTATCGGTAGGAAAGCCAGAAGGAAAGAGACCACTAGGAAGACCAAGAAGTAGGTGGGTGGACAATGTTAAACTGGATCTTAGAGAGACAGAATTTGATGGTAAGCATTTGATCGATCTGGCTCAGGACAGGTAACAGTGGAGGGCTCTTGTGAACACGGTAATGAACATTTGGGTTCCATAAAATGCTGGGAAATTCTTGAGTAGCTGCACAATTGGCGGCTTCTCAAGAAGGGCTCAGCTCCATGAGTGAATGAGTGAGACTCTGTATTGTGAGAGTGAGGTATTCTGTACTTGCTGGGGTTGGATGACCCTCCCCTTTCCCCGTTAAATTCAGATGGTCTCAAATGTTCTCCTTTCCTCGGCTTCATCTGCCGGATGTCGTGTGATGAAACGAGTGCGTGGTATGTTACAAAAGGCACACGTCTCTTTTTTGCAGCATAGCATATGCAAGATGCGGTAACAAGCATGTGGTGCACTCCCCCCTTCCTGTGTAACACACGGTTTCACTCTTGAATCATTGTAGGATGGAAGATTTCAATTTAATTGGCATACAGTAAACCAGAATGCACCGTCGTTGCCGGTTAATGTCAGATACAGTCGTCTAGTATGTTTTTTTTACTTTCAGTGTTTCTTTTGTACGCATTCATAACGAAAAGTAAAAAAAAATATTTAGCCATCATTCTCTTCATCTGTCCGCACGCGACACCTCGTCCACGAATCGTTGAGCGGATTATCTATTAATTTTAATATGGAATTTTACTAAAATGTACCAGTATACTCCTATTTTGGCAGCCCGTAATATAAAGAGAAGTGATAGATCCTTTGAAAGGCGAAGTTTCGATATTTGGAAACGACAGTAACATAAAAATTTTATTGATGAGGAAATTAAGGGCGGATTAAAATCGGGTAATGCTTGATACCCTTCAGTTCGGAAATTTTGTTCTTGACTAAAAACGTTAAAATATCCAAAACTGTAATTTTACCTACAGTTTTGTATGTGATTAAAACTTTGTCTCTGACGTTGATGGAAGAGCATGTGAACATGGTGCTGAGGAGAATATTAGGACCCAAGCGGGATGAAATAATAGGAAGCTGGAGAAAATTTAGTAATGAGGGGGTTTATAATTTGTACTCTTCGCCACATATAATTAGAAATCAGAGATTTAGCATGGAGTGGTGTGGATTGGATTCGTATGACTCAAGATGGAGGCCAGTGGCAGGCTCTTGTGAACACGGTAATGAACCTTCGGGTTTCATAACATGTTGAAGATTCTTGAGTAGCTGAGCGATTTGTGGTTTCTCAAGGACTCACCTGCATGGAGTTAGTTACACCCGTCCTTTGATTAATATCGGGTAGTACTAAGGGACGCCTTGCATAATGACCTGTATGCGTTTCTGCACCCTTTTCGACCAAAATTCACTAATATTTATCGCAGGCAAAAATATGTCAGACGTAGAGAACTGGAACGCCCATTTAATGCTCAGTATGATTTTTCTATGTTACAGTTAAACAAGAAGGAGCGAATGCCCTTGGATTGTTTTACCCTTCTTAATTTTGTAACTTCTGTATTCGTTCTTGAAGAATTGTTCTATCCAACGTGTGCGAAGATTTCCGAGGCCTCTTAGGGTCAGTAATAATTAAACGAAGTTGCTTCCCGCCTGAATTTATAAGTATACACGTATATGCATATATATATATATATATNTTTGTGTTTAAGTGTATTAAAATTTATCGGCACATTAAAATTGGTTAAAACATCGAACACCTTATATGAAGATCCATGCATTTTCGCGCACATCTCGAGCGTAAGCTGCTAAATATATACAGGTACGGAACACAGTTTATGACTAGGACACTTAATCCATAAGTCTTGCTGTTTTTGAGATAATTAAACAAAAGGAGCGAATGCATCACAGCTATTATGCCGTTCTTTCATTTGGTAATTTATTTTCTGTTATGCTATACCTATGTTTATTTTATGTATTTTAGATTAATTACTGCCAATAAGTAAATGCATTTTTGTATTTTCTGTTAGGTTGTATCTGTGTGTATGTGTGTGAGAGAGAGAAAAAGAGGAATCGCGGGCGTGGTCTCAAATCACCGTGTCTCTAATATTATCTTCAAATTAGTGAGAAGTTAATTTTCACATAACTGACGACTTTCGTAAAACGGAGATAGTGTAGATATTTGCTTGTGTTCGGTGGATTAGCGCGTAACGACTATTGAATCTGACTTGTATTCAGGAAGTTCCTATCCCGAATTCCACGTATAGGCCAAATCGCCCTTTTACCTTGGCAGTGTATAGGCTGCAGCAGAAGCATCGGCATTAAAATGTTTATTTATAGCTTAGCTTTCCTAAACTAATTTTAATTACATATCTGTCCTCTACATTTCCTAACCCATCTGCTCTTGTTATGGAAAGATTCTGCAATGTATTGTGTGATGTGCACAGTGTCTTCGCCTCACAACGTGCGCAGAATAAAGGCGTAAGGGGCAGGTGTGTCATTCGCGTTTCATCTCTTCAAATATTTAACAGATACTGGCGAAATTTGTCATTGATGGTTTACATTGTACAGTGGATTTGAATTTCTTATCACTCCAATATAATCCCTGCTCTACACGAATCCTTGGTCGAAAGTTGCATTTTGTTTAAAGCGGCTTGTCATTCGAAGCATTGGTACAAAACGTTGATGCCATTAGGATCTTTAAGTTTTGTTAGAAACATTCTCTGATGTTATGGAATAGCTACTGAAATACAAGAAACAATATTTTCTGACAGTATGCAATTTCGTCGTCGTCTTCATCATCATGGATTAGGTCCTTTAATTCCCTATTTCAGCTCCAAATTTGGATATTTTAATTTTCAGCTTAATCTAAAAATTCCAAATATGTGTGTGGGTACTAAAATATTAGTATAGAATTCCAGTTATATTACTCATAATAATTAGTTGTTACATCTTACTGTAATGTTCATAAATCTTGTTTAAACCACCCACTCACCCACGCATGCACACACAGACTGATTCACTCATTGGAAGCACAATATTAATAGTTATAAATCACGCAGTAAGTTATTAATGAAAGTTAAACTTGGCAGCACTGACCGAGTGCCATCTTGTCTGGTTTGTGTCATTTTTGCTATTGCTGTAGTCCCTCCCGCCATCCTGACTGCAACATTTTTTAATGTGGAGCCCCAAATTGGCCTTTATGTTCAGGTGGAGGAAAACCAATTTCAACATTTTCTCTAACTCTTTTAAGGTATGTAATTGCCAAGTTTTACTTTCATTGGTAAATCATTGTGTGATTCAAAATTATTAATTTGGGGTCATCTTTTTATGAATCAGCCTGCATTAACATCAAGATGAGTGAAGGGAAAGTATTTATAGATGGCGGTTCTTAACTGTGTATGTCAGATATGTGGGAATTATGCTGCACTGGTATGAGAAATTGTGTATGGGTTGATGTAAGCAGATAAATACTTTTTTTATGCACTAAAAGAGATTGTGTATATGTTACAGATTGAATGCTGATGCCTTGTTAGACCAGAGTCTCTGCTACCCTGCCTTGTTCTGTAGAGCTGCACCTCACACGGCTTCACTCTGTTTACCACGACCATGGGGCGTAAGAAAATACAGATCTCACGCATCACAGATGAACGTAATAGACAGGTACTATCCTTCATTTATGAGATTTGAGGTTTTCATGACAGGGAAGATTCCTAGCGATGTCTTGAATTTTATGACATCATGTAGTGTGGTAAGTGGGTACCAACATTTTGGAGGACATCTCTGGAGATGGAAGTTGTATGTTCTCTCAAAACTTTGGAAACCACTTAGTTAGTTAGTTAGTTAGTTAGTTAGTTATTAGAGAGGGTGGGTTTCCCCATGCACTTAGACCTGTAGTGGTCCATTGTGCTTCCCTCTTTGATTTCTACCAGTCTCTATATCCTACCGGTATTGGTGCTTACCATCAGTCCCGCCCAGCCAGCGAGACTGGCTCTACTGGCTGAGAAGTATCTATAATGCTTCCCCCATCTACCGGAGGTATTAGTGACTGCTGTTGGGCAGGAAACGTCCGCAATTTTGGCTCCGTGACCTCCTTTGGAGGTATGAGGTTCTTTTACGTGCCGTAAAGCTACGACACAGGACCCACGGCTTAAAGTCCCTCCCGGAGGACTTGTTCCCTGAATTTTTCCACCCTTAAAAATTCGACGACCTCTGCCGGGTATTTGAACCTGCGTACTACGAGTCATTAGGTGGGAACGTTACCTCTAGACTACGGAGGCCGCTTTGGAAACCACTTACTAGAATATACAGTTATGTATTACATAAAACCACAATATGGATAAATATTCTTCATTAACCCCAAGACAGGGAGGAGGTTTGGTTTTCCTTGGTCAACCTAGACACAAGGAAGGCAAGAGTTCTCATTTAAAATACACATATGTATTATGCCAAACACCTGTAATTTTTATCTAGTAATAAAGTCTGTATAGGTAACATTTGTTTGATGCAGTTTCTGTTCAGACTGATGTGAAACAAGGTGGTGCTTTACTGCCATAGCTTTGTGGTTTAGTTTTAAAATATGTCAGTAAGATCCGTACAAATCAAGAGTGATTGGAATTGAATGAGTCACATCATCAGCTTCTGGTCCAAGATGATAAATGACAAAGAAAACTGCAGAAGCCTTACTGAACTCTAGCAAGGACACTAGTCTAGAAGCAAATGTAAAAAAATATAAACATATGTTCATACCTCATGCTCAGGATGCAGGACAATGACAACAATAACATCAAGAACAAAAATTCAGTAAAGCAACAAAAAAAAAAGTAAAGCTATCCCTGTAGCAGGCCGTGAAGGCCATAGGGTTGTGAGACATTGAGGGTCCCACACTATCTAGACAGTCGGCTCAAAGATGGCGGTAAGGTTGTCAGCCTTACGTGCCGGCTGCGCTTTACTCCCTGGGAAAATTAATTAATTCCTGGTACTCCTTTCTGTTAGAGGCTGAGTAACCCCCAGGGCCTAGTGCGGCTGGGAGGATTAGGTCAACTGAAAAAGTCCAATAACCTCATCGGGATTTGAACCCGCTACCTTCGGCTTGTAGCATAGCCCCTCAACCAACTAAAAATTCAGTTCTTCATTTATTTATGTGCTTACTTAGCAGAAACAGAAGACAAAACAAGGACACTTGTAAAATTTTTACTTGAAGAGCAGATCTTCAACATAGAAAAGTTACTGATGTACTAAGCAGAAATATGTCAGTGACAAGAATAACAACAATAATAATTCAGTTCCCTTATTTTAGTGCTTGCCAACAGGAAGTACCTTATAATGGGAAAGAACTATAAATGTAAAGCACAGAGCTTTAGTGTACTTGAAGGTCTTCAATGTGTTCAAAATATTGTTCTTTTTTCATACTGCTACACTATGTGTGCACATCAAAATGAAACTTTAAAACTTCAAGTGTTTTCTTTATTCTTGTTAATTCTGTGGTAAAGTAAGTTTTGCTATTAATTTCATGACTCAGGCCTCCTAAAAGAGGATATTATTATGTTCTGTACCTATTTATAATTATTTAATATAACATAGCATACTTGACGCAAGAGTATCTTTTGGGATATAATGGCATGCCGTCAGTGCTATGAGGACCTCAAACCAAACTTTGGTAACATGCATCTTAGCGTGAAAACACTGTAGATAACAGAATAGTAGCATTAACAACACCAGCACCAACAGTGGCAGTGACAGCAACAATTATAATTACATGTATTCAGAATTGGTTTTTTCATTAAGTAGACTGTTTAGTCTGTATGACCTCCAGATGTAATAATTATTCCTCCTACCATAATTTGGCACTTTATTCTGCATTTTTAAGGAGACATGCTGTAGATGCTTTTGTCATTTCCTATAACTTCCCAGGCAGCTTTGCCCTTGTGGTCTGCATCCTCTGAACATTGGAGGCTAAAGGTGTAAAGATATTGCCCAACATTAGGCTGGTTACTTGAGTTTGGGATTTCCAAATTGGCTGAAAAGGAAGAGACATGCTAGGTGATTCAGACATAATTCTAAATGTCCAATCTTAAAAATGTAATTGGTACATGTTGAGTTGTCTCTTTGCCATAAAGTCATGCAGATAATGCTCAAACAGTCTTCATCTTGACAGTACATGGAATTGATTAGTCATCTTCCACTGCTACACACTGGAATTTGGCGGACCTCAGAACCATGGAAGACTTGCAGGCATAGGGCAGATAAAGTTCCACCATTCTTAATCTTCATACCAGGTGTTTAGCAGTGAATGTCCCCTGTTACACATTAAAACTTAATGGGCCCCAGAAGCAGTCAGACATGAACGAAAGGAAGATTCCTGACCCTGCCAGGAAAAAGGTCTTGGTTGTATAAAATATAAAACTTCTCACTGAAACAAAATACATCTTTGAAGTTTTTAAAACTGATATATGTGTCAAATCCGTACTGACCTAAATTAATATTCATAAAATATTATTGAAATTAAATTTATGAGGCAAGCAGTGAAATGCACTTGAGTGACTCATAAAAGAAATGAAGATTTACTAAAGAACTAAAAACAAAGTCCTTATGCGACAATTTATAAAACTGTTTCGGTTCAGCAGTCAACAGAATGTACAGAAACAGACTTCTCAAACTATTGAAACATTACATACCCCATAGATCAAGAAACAGAATATGGATGTTGAAGAATGTATTAGATGAATTAAGCCAGAACAGTTGACAAGGTTCTTAACTTCTTGATTCCTAGATGATGGAAATATTCTTAAAATAGATTTTCAGCCCTACTTAATTACTCCATCTATCTTATTTCAGATTTTCTTTTGATGTTGGTTATGAGTTGTTTGCTACACTCTGGGCACCAGTAACAAACAGCTGTTTTTTGCATGTGTGAGTACATTAACACATTGACTGGCACAGAGGACACTGATGTCTTCAGAATCTTTGCCTTGGTAACCATGACAGTCACCAGTGTCTCCTGTAGGTGACATGTCTCATCATGGTGAACTTACTTACTTCATGAAGCTGAGCCCTTCTTGAGAAGCTGCCAGTTGTGCAGGAACTCAAGAACCTTCAAATATTTTGTGGAACCCAAAGGCTCATTATTGTGTTTACAAGAGTCCTGCATTGGTCTCAATCCTGAGCCAGATCAGTCCTGTCCATACCACCCCATTCTGTCTCTCTAAGATCCATTTTAATATTATTCATCCACTTGTGTCATGGTTTTCATAGTGGTCTCATTCCTTGGGGCTTTCCCACCAATATCCTATGTACATTTCTCTTCGCCTCTATCCATGCTATATGCCTTGCCCATCTTACCATCTGTGACATGATCATTCTAATTATACTTGGCAAAAAGTACAAGTCATGAAGCTCCTCATTCTGCAGCTTTCTCAGACCTCCTGTCATCTCATCTCCATTCGGTCCAAACATTCCCATCAGCACCTTGTTCTCAAACACCCTCAGTCTGCGTTCTCCCTTGATGTCAGAGACCAAGTTTCACACCCATACAGAACCACAGGCAAAATCATAATTTTGTATATTCTAATTTTTACAGATTATTCAACAAATGAGAAGACAAAAGCTTCTGGACTGAATGGTAGCAAGCATTACCCGAATTCAGCCTCCTCTTAATTTCCTCCTGTATAAAATTTTGATTTGTTACAGTTGCTCCCAAATATCTGAATTGTGCCACATTTTGAAAGGACCTGTTGGCTGTCTTTATGTTATGATTTTGCCTTGCACCCTGGTAATGAGACAGCGACATATAATTAGTTTTCTCTGCATTTACTTCTAAACCAACCTGCTTACTGGCGTCACTTAAAAAGTATCTGTGTTTTTCTCCACGGTGCCTATATTATGTTCTGGTAGAATCACACCTGCAGCTGAAGTGTTCCATTTAGTTTTAGTTCCACCTGGTTTTCCTGGACCTTCCTAATGGCATATCCTAAAACAAAGTTGAAAAGCAATGGCAATAAAGCATCTCCTTGTTTTAGACCATTTTGGATAGGAAATGTATCAGACAAATGTTTGCCTATACAGACTTTACTACACATTTCATTTAAACACATTTTAATCAGCCTAATTAGTTTTATGAGTACCCCAAACTATGAGAATGCTGTAAAATAATTCCTTCTTAACTGAATCATAGGCTTTCTTGAAGTCTGTGAACATTTGGTTTTCCATCTCTGTATTTACATTTTTTCTCTAGTATCTGACGGATGCAAAAAGAATAGAAAAAAACTGATCAGGAGTTGAACTGTGACATTGAAACCTACTTTGAAGATCCCCAATAATTTCATCTATGTGTGGACTTAACCTTTAGGGAAGCATATTGGAAAGAATTTTGTATGAATTTGTGAGCAGTGATGTCCCACGATAATTAACTACAGTCAGTTTTATTGCCCTTCTTGTGAATTGGTACAATAATAGACTCTCTGCACTCATCAGGCAATTCTTATTTGTTCCAAACAGAACTAATGGGTTTGTGGATCTCAGACAGTAATCTTTCATGTCCTGCTTTAATCAGTTCTACCGGAATTTTATTACTGCCTGGCGATTTATACCTTTTCAACTTTGCAGTAGCAATAGGGTAGAAGAACATGAAAAATCAATTTGGTAGTCAGCACGTTAAATGTGAATCTTCCCAGTTGTTCAATTTATTTTTCTTTGTACAGGATCACTAATGTTGTTTTTTTACCTTCTCTGATACATAGATTATAGAACACCAGTGGAATTTCTGAACATTGATGTCCTGCCTATCTTGAATTATAAGCATAATTATTATTAGCGTGTCTGAGCGTGTTTATCTTCATTATAATAGTGAAATTGAAGAGCTGTCATATTCACCCATAGTGGGAAATCTGAGTTAAATCTGTACAAGAGTATACAGAGTAACTGAAGTTGCAAGGAATTGTCAGCTATGTATGCTGGAAACAGAAGTATGTGTAATTGACTTACATAGTAAGCTTCTGTGTGAAAATGGAGTATTGTTGAATACAGATGGTTTAAAGATTAGTCTTCTGAGTGGTGACGTTGTGCAGTTTGGTAGATATGTACCAACATTTTGGTGGGCCTCCATCTTCACCCAGATGAAGACAACAGGTTCCTACAAACAATTGGTACCTGTCTACTAACTCTACAGTGTCATATCGTAGAAGACCGTAATCTTAATATTCATATCTGTGAGAACCTCAGATCTGACATCCAGTATTGTTTTGTCAACAAATTATATTTGAACATGAACATAGATGGCATAAATCATGTTGTAGATCGGTATGTGGTGGATGCTGCTGCTGTTACTTGTCATGATACCAGTTGTTTCTGTGTGTAGGTAACATTCAACAAGCGAAAATTTGGAGTAATGAAGAAAGCTTATGAACTGAGTGTTCTCTGCGACTGTGAGATTGCACTTATTATCTTCAGCAGTTCCAACAAGTTGTACCAATATGCTAGCACCGATATGGACAAGGTACTCCTCAAGTATACTGAATACAATGAGCCACACGAGTCACTCACCAACAAGAACATTATTGAGGTGAGCCAGGCAGTGAGTTTATTTTATAAATATGAATTAATGAAACATATTTTTGTTTTAAAAGAGAGAGCATGTGCATTTGTATCCCCCCTCCTCCAGCTGGTCCAGAGTAAAGGATAGGCTGTCTGTGACAGTGAAAGAAATACATATTGTCCTGGTATTTTTCATGCTTATGGGAATTGTACAAAAGTGCATTGTGAGATTGCATTTGTAATGGAATCAGCTGGTAGCCACACTCACTTTTGTGTCATTTCATTTGACCTATATGAAAGACTGAAAAAATCATTAAAAATCTGTCTGTCATCACTCACCTTGATTCTGAATTCCGGATCCTGTACCTACCCCTATAATTCATTTGAATTGATGGATCACATATGGTGTGGAAGGGCCACCTGTCCTTCAAACAGTACCTCCTACTGAAATGATTGCGTTTAGAATTAAAAAACCTGTGAACTGCAAGGCAGGTTCTGGTTACCTGCAGATCTTTACAATCTCTGTTGAAATGGATACCGTTTTGGAATCATCCCACCATTTCAAAAGACACAGCTATAATAACAACAGTAGTTTTGAGCCCTTGCTCCATAAAGGCTGAACACTATGACTGGATAATTACTGTACTAATCCAGGTTTTGTGAAGTTTCTAGAATCATGTAACACCATTCTGTGGGGCCCATGAAAATAAAGTGGAAGAACATGCCCAAGAAAGTAAAAGAAAATAAATTACAAAGGGTGAACTTACAGTGCAGCATGGTGGTCCTATTTGCATCCTCAGGTGAAGTGTGAAGAAGAACATTACTGTGATCTCACCTCCATTGTATATATTTCCAGACCATAACAGAATCACTGTAAAATACAATTATTTTTGTATAGAAAGTTATATGTCTGTTAGTTAAATCTACAGCAGTTCTTTCAGCTGAAGCAGAATTGGTTTAGTTTCATGCATTCTTCTGTCTTAGTTTTGTAAGAGAATAAAATGGGTCATGCTGCTGTTGTGTAAATCAAATTGCTTACTGTGCCACAGGGTGACAGTTTTTTTTTAGTCTGGTAGCCCGACATGTATTTTGGTCTCTGAAAGGTAGATCGTATTTTCTGATCCTTTGCTGGTGTTCTCACCATTGCTTAGCATGCAAGGTTCATGTCTCCTGTTGTCATACTGTTTGTCCTGAACCCCCACAGGCCAGGCATGTGGTAATGGCAAGAAAATTTTAATTTCAGAGATATCATTGTTGTATCTTTATGGTAATATTGATCTTAGTTTCTTTTGAGTTGCTATTTCCTTTGTGTCACAAGTGACTTAATGGGAATTGTAACAATTCTAGAAGCAACTCCTGAATCTTGAGTGGGAAATCAGTTTCCTACCAAAATGTTTCAGTTGCTGTTGGTGGCCTGCTGGTCATAATTTTTTACTGTGTACTGTAGTATGGTCTCTGGATTTGACAAATACATAGGTTCCAGAGTGGTGGTATGTCTGTTTTTCTACAAGAGAAGGAAATGCTATAACTGATGAAGTGTGAAAACAAATGGAAATGGAGCCTGCAGAAATTAACTGTAAAGAATTATATAGAGAAAAAATATGACTTCACAAAATTTGCTGCTGTTTTAGCTGTGTCATTTGAAATGTTAGGGAGGATTCCAAAATGTTTCGCTTTCCAGTATAAACTATGAAGGACCACAGGTAACCAGAACTGACTTGCACAGTTCACACTCTTCTGGTTGCAAATATAATGTTTTCAGTAGTATTTGAAGAATAATGACCCTTTCCACATTATAAATGACTTTATCAATTGGAATGTATTTTAAGAGACCTCACCCTGATAATCTGTTCCCTTCCTTTTATCATAAAAGAAGGAAATAACATTTGTAACACTAATATGGTGTTTGGTGGCTGTGGCAAAAGTTAGGGGTCAAATAATGTGACCCCATGAAGTACACTATTGCATGCAGTCAATACTTACTCAATATTCATACTGCTGTAGTGGCAGTTCATCTTATAGATGGTATCATAATTGCAGGCTTTGAATAAGAAGGAACATAAAAATGGTACATGTAGTCCAGATAGCCCAGAGGCTGACACGGATTACCAGCTCACACCACGTACAGAAGCTAAATACAGCAAGATAGATGAAGAGTTCCAGATGATGATGCAGAGAAATCAGCTTAATGGAAGCAGGGTATGTTTGTATATTACTGATGCAGGCACAGAATAAAATTGGTGTTTCAAAGCATTGTATTTTTGTAACTGTGGTACACAGATGTATGAAAGAAGTGAAGATGGTGGCACAGTTATTATAAAAAATTATTATTATATTATTATTATAAAAATCAATGTGTGGCACATCATGAGACAGCATTGCCATGGATAAAATTAGTTCTTGGATTTTTGGTGTTATAGTTTCAGTATTTGTTCGAATCCTTTGTTTTGGTGTTTTATTGCTGTCTGCATTCCCAGTGGCTCCATAAACTGCTCTTGGACGAGTACCCTCACCAAAAAGAAAGTCAAGAAGGGGTATTAAGTGCGTGGCCTGTGACATGGAAACCTTTCATTTAGAGTAGCATGAACATTGTTACTGATAGTGGGCAGTGCACCATTATTCTGCCACCGTGGAAAAGCAAAGTTTTTAGGCATACACAGATCTTCAACATGGTAGCCTCAGATAAAGAAACATGTTTGGGCTGATACAGAATGTCGTGTCAATATCAGGGCAGATGATGGAGACAGTGTGTTTTTCCAAATTGTTGACATCCACATTATGGATTACACCATGTGAACCCAAATGACAGCAGTATCAATCTTCACCACCATGAACACTTCAAATCTTACATAATAAATATTTTTCATATAGCTTTATATTTGTTACACAGTCTTTTAGGAGAGCCATTCCTAATTTGTTCTCTGGGCATTTTTACACATTTTTTAAATGTTGATGTGATACGTATTTTCTGTTAGCTGTAATGCCTGTTATAAGAAAGTGATGTACATGAAATGTGTAATTAAGTATGAAAAGTAATAGAATTCTGAGTAATAAAATGTCATATATGTGTATATACATTGTAGCATACAATTTAACCATAATAATAGCTTGGTGTGCTCTGAGTCACTGAGCTATATTTTAATGTGCTGCTATTTGGGAAAGTTTAGAAATATTGCAGCATGGCCACATTAGTTGTAAGTACAAGAAAAATTGTGCAGAGTAAGAATTGTGAATTTAGTTGTCTTTTGTAAGAGTAGCCCAACATTCACAGCTCCATTGCCATTATTGCACCCACATTGGTTTTAAATATACATATTTATTTCAGGTTGGTATGAATCAAGGAAACTACTCCCTTCCAGTAACAGTGCCAGTAAACAGCAGCTATGGGGACTCATCCATGCTGCAGACTAGTCCCCAGATGCCTCATACTAGTGTTAGTCCACGGCCTTCCTCTTCAGAGACGGACACAGGTTGGTACTCCATTACACACAGAAACACTGAATGTATTGTAGTGATTTTAGCACTAGCTTGTAGTCTTCCTCTTCAGAGACAGGCAAGGTTAATAATCCATTATGTACAAACACAATGAGTATAATGTGCTGAAGAAAGCAGTCTTCTGGGATTTGGCACCTTGTATATGCGGTGTTAACCGACGTTTCGGAGGAATGTATCGCCTCCATCTTCAGGGTAGAAGAAAAAATATAAGAAATCTGCAAGCGAAGAGACCGTGAAAACCGGTAAAAGTTTACTATTTACTTGAAGTTTTGAACTATTTTGGTTACTAACTGTAATACCAGAAGATGTTTAGCACTCATCTTCTAATATATATAAAAGGTTCTGGTCAGTATTAGTTCCTACTATAGACCAGCTAGAGAGCACCTATACATATTATGAAATTTGCAACATATGTCCCAGATGTTGCAAATCTGGTATTTCCATTAGTGTTTCATATTCAGATATGGGGTTCATTGCTTGGGGCATCATTTGCCCCCCCCCCCTTTATGATCCCAAGCATAGTAATTTGACTTCTTCCCCTGCAGTTAAGATGTTCTCTTATTTAGTATTAAAGTACCATGGTCTGAAATCCCATTACCTCGATAACACTGCCTCCATTTAAGGGTTTCCTCAGATAATCTTGTAGTCAGAATAGAACTGAAACAATCATAATTTTGTAAACTTTGATTGTGATGAGGTTTATAGCAGGTTGAAATTGAAACACATGGATTGATATGTACATTTGCTCTAAGGAAAAACTGAAGTGAAGTCGTGTTTTTCCAGAAGCAACTTTTGAGTGGTGGTCATAATATACTTAGAATTTCAATTTTTTTTTTTTTCTGCTAGTGAGGTGGGACTAAGTCCCTAGTACTGTGGCCACTTCTGGCCTATTGTACCAGCCCCAGATGATAGCTGAGGGTGATTGTGGAGCAGTTGGTGGAATGAAGATTGGCAGGGGAAACCGAAGTACTCGAAGAAAACCTGCCCCAGCGCCACTTTGTCCACCACAAATCCCACTTGACCAGACCTGGGATTGAACATGGGTCACCACGGTGGGAAGCCAGCGACTAACCGCTTGAGCTATGGCGCGGCCTAAAATTTCAATTAAATCTTGTGTTGAGCTGTAACATATATAGGAAATTAAATATGAAGTTTAGATTTAGAATATCTTTGCATACAGGGGAATGAAAGTGGGAAGTATGGATGCAGGCATGTAGGTTGTAGCACATTTGCAATGAAAAGTTGCAAAAATGTGCCTTTTGGCAGTACCATGTCTGGTAGTCTGCATGTAACAGCTCAAAAACTGTCAAGTGGATTTTCTTAAATTTGATATTAGGGAGTTCTAGTAAACTTTGTCAATTAATTTCAGTTAAATAAAATTGGAAAACAATATTAGATGCTTCACCTCAGAACCCGCATCCCTTCATGTATCTCATATGTAACTCACTAAACTCTGTTCAGAGTAAAAAATGTTTTAGAAAACACCTGTAGGGACTGTTTGATAAGTTTTAAGGTTTTAAAAGTAATTAAAGAGTTATTTCATGCTCTGTTAACTCATAATTCAAGAACTACTGGATTGATATTGATCAAATTTGGTATTAGAGACAATAACAGAGTGAATGCAGCAAAATTGTTTTGCTGTGTATGCATTTTCTAACTTCTGTTCTTGTGGTGGATCTTACTGATAAAAGTACATATTTGGTTGAAGTCGTAATTCTCACATTAGGAAGACCTTACCAAATTGGGGCATACTGTTGAAGAAACAAGCATAGAAGAAAAATTCTGTGTTTATTGTGATTGTCTTTTTGTGTTTTATTTCACATTTACACATTTATTTTCAATATTGAAGTTGTAATAAGATATGCAAATATCGTTAGTGTGTGTTTGTTTTTTTATATAGTGTATCCGTCCGGTGGGATGTTGGAGATGAGTAATGGCTACCCTAATTCATCGTCACCACTCGGAGGTTCACCATCCCCTGGACCTGGACCCAGTCCAGTGCTCTCCAGCAAGAACTTGCAACATACCAAGCAACACTCTCCAGGTGCTGGGAGAGCTAACCTGCGAGTGGTAATTCCCACACCTCAGGGCCACAACCTCACTTCTGATGAAGTAAGTTGTGTGTAAGATGGAACATATTTCTCAGGTTAGATATTCCAGTATCCAGTAGAATGAGCATTTTGATGAATGTTATAAATTCTTGTCCAGAGTTTTCCATATTTACCCTACTGATTATGTATGATTATTTAGGATAATTGGATACTGCAGTAATTGAAAAAATTGAACTAGGTATTACAGCATAATCCCAGACAGTTGCCAGGCATCATTATGAAAGAAGAAAATAAGCAAAGAAATGACATTAAAGATAATTCAAATTAAATGAGGTTCTTGTTCCATTAATTTATTACACTTGACTGACAAGTCTTTGTTATTATCATTGCAGATGCTGTTTGGCATTTTATATTGGTATATGTGATATTAATGTATTTGTTCAGCCAAGTCGGAGCACGTCAACATTAAACACTCCTGTAGTTGCGCTGCAAACTCCGTCCATACCTGGTTTGGGAGGCTATCCAGGTTCTTTATCTGCTTTTGGTGGGCAAGACTTCAGTGTGGGACCCGACATGGGCCTTGGTACACTGAGCTGGAGTCATCAGTTGCCCACATCGTTAGCTCATACTAGGTAATATAATGTTATACTTTCTTCATAGTGTAAACACATGCCAGATAGGTAGCAGTGAAATGGCTTCATGTTGATGGGGCAATCTGAAGTGATATATATTTCTGGCGGTAGAATAATGGGCAAGTAGCAGATCAAGCGGTTATAGAATGATAAGAGTTCAAACCCAACATTATAGTCAAATGGTGGAACTGCTGCTTTGTAGATGACAGGTACTGGGTTCAGATTGCAGCCTGGAGTTCAACTGTTTTACACAGGTTTTTCTTATTTTTTCCTCTGGTTCCCCATGCAACTGCTGGAGTAGTATCTAAAACGAGGCCATGACCTTTTCTTTCCATGTACTTTCCAGTTCATTATTCACTCCTGTTTGAAGCTATACAATTTGACCCACTGAAAGCATTATTAAAATAAAAATAAATTAAATTTTGGATGATAATTTGTGGTTAGTGGTGATACAGGTCAAGCTGTAGCATGGGTGAAAATCCTTAGGCAGGGTGTTTTGGAATACCTGTTATGAATAAATGTTCCTCAGGGAAAGACTGTCATGCAGAGAGAACATTTCCATTTTAAGAATTGAGTGAAAGACAACCTTGACATCCAAACATCAGACATTGTGAAAAATGTGACATATTATTCAGAGTATCACAGAGTAGTAGATGTAGTTACTGAAAGGAATTAAATTTCATGGATTAGTTTGAATTTCCCATATAAATGAAACAAGGAGTAGACCTAAGCATAGAATATAGAGATGGCTTAATCTGTCTTGAAGTAGGGTTCAGTGGTGGGCTCATATGAACACCAATGAATTTTTGGACTTCATAAAAATCAGGATATTTTCATGATATGCCTGGATGACTACTGGCTTCTCAAGTAGGACTCTGCCTCATAGAGTTAATGATACTCGTAACTTCTGTATAATGAGTGAGGCTGTATTTATCCTATAATGTGAATTCAGTAGTAGCTACAAAAAACCTATTCAGTGCACTGGGTTGACTTCACTTAAGTAAGACTTTCAGTTGTGTCATGATGGTCTTCTTTCCAGTGGTCTGCCTCATTTAGCTGTATCAAGCAGTACACCACCTCCCTCCACATCTCCACTGCCTGTGAAGATCAAGAGTGAACCTATCTCCCCTCCTCGTGATGGGAACAGCCACTCACATGCACTTGGCCATCCACTCAGCCACCTGCAAAGCCATGGTCATGGTCACACATTGCCACGGCCAAGTTCAACTGGTCACCTCACACCTACACCAGGTTGGAATAACTTACATTATGCAATAATGATGCTTTCACATGAAAGTGGTGTAATGGACATGTGTCAGTGTGACTGGTAGAAAGTATGCAGGCATATATTTTAACACAGTTATTTTGAATTCTTTGCAAGAAATGAGCACATGGGAGGTCATGTCCATCCATCTATTTCCTTCATTGAGCCACAAAACTGCTGAATGGAGTTCGGTTAAATTTGGTATTGTGGGTCTGTATTGAAAATTGTTAGATTAAAATAATTTTGGTTCATGTTGTCTAAAATAATTGCATGAAGCTTGGTCAGAACTTTTCTGCTTTCTCAGAAACAGCTTTATCATATTGCAACAGATTTGAGCAGTGCATTGCCAGACAGCAGCTCTGTAAACACGCAACAATAGATCAGGCTGTTCCTTTGTCATCCACTCCAAGTGACAGTGGACCAGTGGGGTTATGCAACCTTTTTCTAAGAAATGGCTTGTTAAACACGCTTCCATGTAAGTGGTGATGTAATCAGCAACAGAGATGCTGATTTCTGTGGAGTCTGTTCAGAGTGCTTATAATGGAAGTGAATGTAGCGACAGAGTTAGTTCAGGGGCAGTTACAAGTCAGTCATAAGCTGGAGGAATGAGTCCAGAAGAATTTTTAGTTCCAAGGATCCAGAGTGATTGAAGACTAAATAGCAAGAAACTTCATGGGGATTTGAAATGCTAATTTCTGTGTTCGAGATCCGTTTCTAGGATACAACTAGTGGAAACTGAGAATCCTAGTGCATATGCAATGGTGGACTGGAAAGTGTGTAAATCAGCAGTAGTGCTGTATTTAAATGTGATTAAGAGAACTTGTAACCAAGGTGCTAATAAATCCAATCATCTGAACTAGAACCCATTATTTGTGTTATGCGTACCACCCTACATGTGACAATATTAAGAATTGATATGAGGAGTAATAATATGCAGAAATCAAGTTTTACAACTTCTTTTTGAAGTTTTTCTTGATACAGTGAATATTTAATTAAATATGGGGAAAAAATTCCAACAGTGTGTAGTGTGATAACTTACTCCAGGTACTTCGATTTCCCCTGCCAATTTTCATTCCATAAATTGCTCCACAATCACCCTCACATATCATCTGGGGCTGGTATAATAGGCCAGAAGTGGCCGCAGTACAAGCGACGTAGTCCCACCCCACTAGCAATAAAAAATCCTAACTCATGGAGCTGAGCCCTTCTGGAGGAGCCGCAAATTCTGCAGCTACTCAAGAATTTCCCAGCATTTTATGGAACCGAAGTTTCATTACCATGTTCACAAGAGCCCTCCACTGGTCCCTATCCTGAGCCAGATCTATCCAATCCATACCATCCCATCCTATGTCTCTAAGATCCATTCTAGTGTTGTCCACCCACCCATGCCTTGGTCTTCCCTGTGGTCTCTTTTGTTCTGGCTTTCCCACCAATATCCTATACACATTCCTTGTCTCCCCCATTCGTGCTACATGACATGCCCACCTCATCCTCCTTGACTTGATCATTCTAATTATACTTGGAGAAGTGTACAAGTTATGATGCTCCTCATTATGCAGTTTTCTCCAACCTCCTGTCACTTCATCTCTCTTCGGTCCAAATCTCCTCAACACCCTGTTCTCAAACACCCTCCGTCTATGTTCGTCCCTTAATGTTAGAGATCAAGTTTCACACCCATACAGAACCACAGGGAAAATTATAGTTTTGTATAGTCTAATATTTATGTTTTTGGACAGCATTCGAGAAGACAAAAGGTTCTGGACTGAATGGTAGCAAGCATTACCTGAGTTCAATCTCCTCTTAATTTCCTCCTGAATGAGGTTTTGATCTGTTATCATTGTTCCCAAATATCTGAATTGTGCTACATTTTCAAAAACATCTGTTTACTATCTTTATGTCATGATTTGGCCCACAATACTCGTACAACAGTCAGTAAAATTTTACATAACCCGCAATAGGAACAAAGGCTGTCATTACATACTTTTCTCACTTAATAAGAATTTTTAACCTGTTTCAAACTAGCATTATGCATTTACTCTTAATATTCACAACTTGTTTTAACTGTATTAAATATTTAGTCTTAATTTCTGTAACTGTTATGCGTTCTCTCTGTGATACTATAGTAACAACCTGTGCTCAACAACAGTGCCATACTGTGATGAGAGCTGAAAGCCTCAATAGTTTAAAAAGAAAAATTGTCTATTGGTAGGCAGCAGTTGGGTAAACACAGTTCTGCAACCAAAATTTGAACAAGTCACAGTAGAGGATCTTGTGGGCCATTGCTGAGCAACATGGTGTTTTCTGTGTGGTCTGTGCCGAGGTTATATAACAAGGCCACAGGCCAAGTCATAGTTAGTCATAGCCCATGAGTGGTCACTTGATGACCAGCTGTGAGATGGTACCCAGACAGCAATAATGTAAGCATGGAAGCAGAGAATATTTTTGAGGTTCATTGCCAGGCAGCGCATAGTGAAGACATAGAAGGCTTAGAGCGTGCTGTAATGCATTGTAAAGTGTGTGAATTAGCAAGAGTGCTATACTCATAGTTACTTATGGTTACAAGTGGTAAGAGTTCAATAAATCCAACTACCAATCCAAACCCTCTGTCTAGTCTCTAAACAAATAACAGTACATAAAATAATTCCTGTATAATGTAGCCTCTGCATTCTGATGGTGGCGAGTAATGGCCAGAGCATATAAAGGCAACATTTTTACGTCTGCTAAATTAGTTACACTTGATGGACTTCTGCTGCTTATTATGTAATAGCTACATCTCTTTCAGTCACACCTTGCCCAGCTGTTAACAGCAGAGTGACATGGCCTTCTGATATGAAGTAAACACTGGCACATACTCTACATAGTTCAGTACTATAAGTAGCTGTTATTTTAACATCAATACCTTTTAACTCCATTTTCATCCTTTGTTGCACATTATTCTGAGTGGTCACAAATGTAACAAGCAGCAAACAGGATGAAATTAAATTTGTGCACAAGCTCTTCATAGTGTGATTCCTTGTTAAAAAAAAGAGTTCAGAAATGCTGTACAACATATAGCCTGTGACATTCAGTTTCCAAGGTACATGTCATTATCAAATAGTTCAAGCTGTCAGGTAATCAAACCCTGGGCACCTCATAGTTACAGTGGGTTTTTGAAGCATCTTTGTCAGTTTAAAGCAGATGTCAATGTGCTGTGTGGCAGTCTCTTGAACATGCCATAATGGTTGGCATCAACCATGGTCACAGCTGCTTGAAATTTTGCCATGAGATCTTCAGTAGTCCTGGCAGGGACTGCATAAATGTGCTCCGTCAGGTGTCCCCACAGGAACAGTCCATCAGAGTTAGATCTGGTGACTGATGAGCCCATGCAGTTTGCCATCCATGTCCAGTCCAGCCCACCTTCCTGGATATGTTGTGTTCAACCACTGCCAGACATCTAATGCATAATGTGCTGGAGCTCTGTCATGCTGCAGCCATAACTTCTGCATCACACATAGAGGCACATCTTCAAGTGGATACAGCAGACTTTTCCAGAAAATTATGATATGTTTGAGCACTCAGCCTGTTGGGTAGCAGATGGAGGCTGATGAAAGTGTCCCTGATGATTCTAACCTAAACACTAATGCTGAAGCAGACTTGATACCCACATTTGCAGACAACGTAAGGATTATCATATTCCCAGAGGTGACTGTTGTGGGCATTGAACATACCCTTGCATGTAAAACATGCATCTGTACACAGAATGACATGTAAATATGGCTTATCTGCGCTGTGTTGATGTTGTAGCCATTCTCAAAATTTCATCCATAGAGGACAGTTGTCTGGAAACATGCACTTTGACAGTAGTGGCATGGTTGCAGCTGATTTTCATGAAATACTTCGAAGACCGTTGGTTGCTATAGTCCCAATTCTTGTGTGATATCACATGAGTTTCTCCACAGTTCATGTTCCTCATCTGCAGTTATGGTGTCTTCACAGGCTGGTGTTTGTACAGTCCAACGGCAAATTCGTGTGTGCCATAGGTATTACACTTTCTGTCTCATGGAAATGCTGCTCTATTTGTCAACACATTAGTGCCTGCATGATGGCAGGATAATAAAGCACATATTTCTGTGCAGCAGAATGAGCTCAATTATTACAGGTACTGAGGGTTAAGGCCATAGTGCAGTACGAGTGGGTACCCAAAAGAAACCGAACTTATTTTTTTTTAAACTTATTTATTCAAATTTTAAGCACAAACCTTCAGTCCCCTTCAAAGTACTCTCCACTTACACTAATACATTTGTCTAGTCTTTTATTCCATTTTTCAAAACATTGTCTAAATTCATCTTTTGAGATGCTTGACAGCGCCTCCGTCGTTTTTTCCTTTCATGTCTCTTTTCATTCGAGGAAACAAAAATAAGTTGCATGGGGCAAGGTCAGGTGAGTATGGAGGGTGAGGAACAGGGGTCATACCATTTTTGGTCAAGAATTGTCGTACAGACAGGGCTGTGTGAGCAGGGGCATTGTCATGATGGAAAAACCAGTCACCCGACTGCCACAAATCTGGCCGCTGAGCTCCAAGTCACTCCCGACAGCTCCACAATTTCTTCAATGGTCCGTCGTCGATCTTCCTTGATGATTTCACGAATTTTTTCAACATTTTCATGTGTTCGGGCCNTGTTCACGAAAATCAGCCATTGCAAAAATGACGATCACACAAAACAGTTGTCACTATAAACTCTGCCAAAACTAGTCCTTACCTTCTGAAGCAACGGTAGTTGGCTTATCGACTCAGGAATGTTAGCTCTATGCGTTCATAGCAGCAAAACGCGGTACTACAAAAGCTCTGCCCACAAAAAAATTAGTTCGGTTTCTTTTGGGTACCCCATCATATTTGTCGTGTGTATTCCATGATAATTGAGTCACAACTAATCCCTGCTGTGCACTGTTTTTGAGTACACTTAACAGCGCGCTATGTGTCATTGTGCCAAATAACGCTGCTGAGAACTATGTTATCCCATATGACGGTAACATGTCTTGAAAACTAAGTGTCTTAGGCCATGTGTTATATAACATATTTGACTTGTCTTTTAACAATAAATCACACTACAGAGAGTTTGTGTGCGAATTTTGTTTCGTCCTTTATATGCCATTAAAAGTGTAAATTTGGTTTCAGCAGTGGTAGAGACTGCAATGCCAATGAAGCATAGGACGCCCTCTTGCTGTTGCATGGCAGTCCATTCCATAATTACTACTAACAACAGTGACTTCTATAATGTTGGAGACAGAATAAAGACTTCTGAGCAAGCCTTTGGCCTTTATATAAGATGTTTTCTGATGTTTTTCAATGAGATTAAAATTGTAATCAAACCCATTCAGTTTTAAGTCTTTTACTCGGAACTGACCAATTTAAAATCTACTGCATTGTAAAGACTGATTCAGTATTATTATGTGGACCTTGCCTTTCTTCCAAACAGGAACTGTAACCCCAACAAACTTGTCATCACCAGGCGATCCACGGCACAGCAGCAGTAGTGACTATGACAGTGGGCCAATTCAGAAACGTGCCCGAATCAATGAAGGCTGGGCTTCATAGTGAAGCAGCCCATCACATGGGAGCACCTCACCTCAGTCTTGGATCTCCTCATGTGAGCCATGATTAAATGCTGCAGTTGTGTGACAAGAGGATTATGTGCCATCCATTGTACCATTGCAGTCACCAGAGTTGTTAATCAGGCATGTGGCAGACCAGTGTGTGAATACTAGTGCCTGTAACAGTAATGGTTGGCTGGCATCATTTTGGGTTTTGCTCAAGAAGAATCCGGTTCAGTGCAGTCATGCTATAAGTGATAGTAGTAATAAACACATCCACCATGTACCTTTTGCACAGGAAATTCAGATCAGTCTTTAAAAAGAAAGGATCAGAATGTTAAAATGACAACCTATGTAAAGAATTGTTTGCAGATATATAACCAGTCAGATGAGCCATGTTCCACATGGCAGTTGATCTTCAGCGTACTTAAATTTGTCATTTGGAAAATTGCCCATTGCATGTATAGATTCTGATGAGTGCATGTGCTTGGTGCAAATATGTCCCCCTCCCTCACAGCTGCCTCATTCCTACACAGAAGACAGTGAAGCAGTCCATGTGATGAAGTCCAAATTGTTCTGTAGATAGTTTTATCAGATGCAAATATATATCATTGACTTAGACAGAATTGTGTAAAGAGATGTTTTTGTACTTGATTTTTGTTGTGTGCAGTGCTGCGTGACTACTGTGTAGCCCCCAGATGAGCATCTATTTTACTAAGAAAGCATGCGAACATTCCCTATAGTCATGCTTTGTTACTTGTTTCCACAGCCAGATGGAGTACTTAGCACATAAAGCATGTACGTTCTGTGTAAAGTCAGGTTCCCTTAGTGTCATACTGGACTGGTAAATCACAAGCCGTGATTTTTTGTTTTTGTAACTCAGTATACAAATACTGATATCACATCATTGTGTACAGTGTGATTATTATATATATTTTCTGAGACAATATTAATTTCAGTAACATGCAGTATGGTTTTTAAGTGTAATGTATGTGTTTTAAGTTTTGTGTTGCCATGCTAAATTTGGTGCTTAATGACTGTAGGCAGGTTGACACTTGCTGTATTGGTAGACACTTCCTTTCTGCTTCAACACATCACACACACTGCACGAGACTAATACACAGTCACCAAAGTTGTTGGCATCCAACATCAAATGGAATGCACTATTCTTATACATATATATATCTTTAATAGTGAATCCTGGTTGGTTCTTCCAACATGCAGAAATAGGTCTTGTTGGCCAAAACACGGGGCCGAATCAAGTTATTGTTGCTGTTGTTATATCATGGTACTAGAGTTACACATATTGTAGGAATGGTTTTAGCTTAAGAGACCACCACTGGTAGAGTAGGAGTTCTCTGAAACATGTAACTAAATGATCAAGCATGCAAAAGCTCTGGGCATATGATCAGGTATTTCTGAAAGTGTTACTGTATAAATTGCCTACCTTATGGATATTTTTTTTTTGTTCTACTTTATTTCAGTTTATCGGTTACATTTGTGTAAATGCTTTTGCCAGTGTTTTGAGGGTCTCCCTAATCATAATTCTGTCTGAAGGAAACTACTACTTTTTTTCCCCAAATTTAAAACTATGTGTGTGCACTTTTTCAGGACCATGTAACCATACCATGGATCACATTATTCTTAGATGTAACTCTGTACATATATACCCAAATTGTTTACATTATGTCCATGATGAATTGGGAGAAACAGTCAGGTTTCTGACACGTAGTTAACCTACCACAGTGTTCACTATTAGCCTTCTGAAGATATTTGGTGGTAGAGCAACTGTTTCACTGTATTTTAACTACTGATGCACCTCTCACAGTAGGTGCAGATCATGTCCTTCATATCTCCACTTAGGATGCCTTACTCCGAGTGCCTCAAACATGTGCTTGTCCACTCTGGGTTCTGACCGATTACATTCATATGTCAATTTTGCACAACTCCTTGTCTTTGGGGCTGCAAACGTTGGCAGAACTTATCTGCTCAGGAACTGTATAATGGTTCTGCATTGGAAATTCTTTGGAATGTGGCAGTATGTTAGAAAACAATTTGAAAAGTTGTTTTGTTATGTGATGTAGTACAGCTCTACCAGTGGAGGTTTGTTTATTGTAGGATCATATACCTCTGGTTAATGTATTTTATAAAATTGAAAATTGAAATTTTGTAAACACCAGAGATATTTTAACGATATTTACTATTATTATATCGAGATATTATATTTTAATATGAGATTGCAGCCCCAATGGTCTTTATGACCCTTCTCTGACACTCTGTGCCTTCACTTTCCTCATTCCACTCACTAACTTTACACGGCGAAAAGCAATCAAAATTTTAACAGATTTTCTATGAAGCACAAGTACTAAAACTTTAGTGAGAATGTCTTACTAGGTGAGTCCAGTGAGATAATGTATTTGTATAGAATGTGTCCAGGGATGCACAGTTTGTATAGCCAATGTGATGATAGAAAAGATCTATTTTGCTGTCTGTAATAAAACCACCGTGCTTGTATAGAAGTGTCATTGCTTTTGTCTTCCATCGGATGGAGCTGCAGTATCTGTTATACCAGTAGACTTGCAGGTGTTTAATTCAAATACTCATGCTGATGAACCATGTACTTAGCTCTTCATTTAAATCCAGAATATTTCTAAGTTGTTGTAGTAATTATTGGTTTTATACCTGCTAAAGTGCAATATTATGTTATAAATTTAATATAATGTAGTCTAAATTGTTTCACAAGAATTGCTTGTAGTCATAAAACCATTGTTCTGTTTGGACTGGAGCAAACAAAAAATCCCCCTGCTGGTCATCGTCCTCCCTAGAGACCATGTATGGCAGCCATATTGGTGTGGGGTGTTGTTTTCTCATGTACTCAACAGATGTCTGCCATACATGATACAAATAAAGATTTGGATGTGACATATGTTTCCAACTCATTTATATCCTTGCATCTTGATTCCAGTCTGTGGGAAGATTTCTCATCAGTGTCAAGTTGCTACTGTTTACTGTACATAAGTCAATGACTGTGGGGTCAAACTAACTCTATCTGAGGAGGAAGAGTTCAACAAGTTGAAAGCATACTTTACAATACAAGTGTAAACAAGTATCTCCAGTTCTATTGAACAGTTTTCCCAACCACGTGTCACTGCTGTCATTGTACATGTGCACGTCCAGTGGATGCAGCATATTATTTTTAACATAAATGCCATTCCCCCCCAGTTTCCTCCAACATAAAATCCAGCTGCTAGTGCTATAGCAGCAGGAGATATCGGTCCCCAGTTCCCAAATGATAATGGTTACCTGATATATTACTGTTGTTGAAATATATGAGCGTTTCTATTAGTAGTTCCAGTGTCATTTATCATTGTTTATTCCTGTGACATATTTTTAGAGAGTGATTTTAACTTGTTGGATGAGGTTCTTATGGCAATTAACATGAAGTGTATGGTTTTCTGGCAAGTAACATAGCATAGTTAGGGGATAGTCTGACATTTCAGAGAAACCTATCATTTCCATCTTCAGGCGGCAAACTGTTTCTAATGGTTTATTGCTTGGCTTACTCTCTGACACTGAACATTGAGACAGTATATTCCTCTGAAATGATGTGTTCTGTCCAACACAGCATTACAACCCAGAAGACCAGGCTTCACATTTAAACTTGTCTGTGGATAAGTACTATATATGCTACTCAGTGATACTTATTCACAGAAATGTTTAAACTCATTTCTCAATATGTATTCTCTATGTAGTACTCAGTAATACTTCTTGCAGGTATTGAAATGTTCCTGCTAATATGTATTGACATGATGCATAAAAGCTGACATATTGGAATCAAGAGAAGTGTCATGTAAGCATCCACTGCTATGCAGCGGCTTGTTAAAAGACATTTCCACAGCAGCAGATATGCTTACAACAATCTAACCATGTCGAAGCTATATAAGGACAGCCAGCAAGAGACACGGTCATGAGACAGAAAAATAAAAGTAATGAATCCTGGTGGGCCCAGAACCAAGAATTCCTGTGTTAGCAAATGCCACCAGCAGTTTACCCAACTCGACCAAGAGGGGAGCTATTGAACACAAAGTATTCCAGACAATCCCCATTGTTGGAGTCAATAACCAGGCAAAGAGTACATGCAGATATAGTATACCAGAAAGACTTGAAATGTACTGTAGTTATTTGCAGATTGTGAAGGATAATAAAAGTGTAATTACCTGTTCTGTATTTCAGCATCCTGTTGCAAAACGTTAATTAAAACATCTGTGTGTCCACAATCCATCAATAATGCAACAATTGTCTGTTACGTGTTAAATGGTGAATAAACAACTGTTGCATTATTGATGGACTATGGATACATAGATGTTTTTAAGTAATTACCTGTAGTTAAGAGTAATAAATATCCAATACAACTGCCAGTCTGACCCCTTTGTATAATCACTACACACTGACAACTGGTGTCAGAATTGCTGAATAGGATTGTTGGATGATGTAGTCAACATTACAGGTAATCATGGTGGATATGGAAGATCTGTTAGCTACCATACAAAAAATGATCACCATTAGTGCCTGTCAAGAAAAGATGAATGCCGGTATGGAAGAAATGAAGGCCACAGTAAATGCTAACAAAAAAGATGGAGGCCATTATACAAGGGTTGGAACTTTAATAGTGGCAACACTGCTGTAGAGATGCCATGCAACGGAACCAAATAATGTTGCTTATTATACCACACGTTAGTTACATACCTACCTTACCTCAGAGCAAATGGACCCTCCCTTCCCACATGATGCGCATGCGCAGTGATGAGAAGAACAGAGCGTCATGTTAGCTGGCGGTGTAATGTAGTGTTGTCATGATGTTTTCGAAACAGGAACAACGGAGTTGGATAAAGATTGAATGTGCCAGAGGCTGTACAGAACAACAGTGTCATCAAGGTCTTCAAGAGGCTTGGGGGGGGGGAATCTGCATTGCCTTACAGAACAGTGGCAAGGTGGGTAAAAGCCTTCAACGAGGGACGCCAAAATGTGCCAGACATACGTCAGCCAGGTCGTCCTAGTGTCAGTGAAGAAGTGTATGCTCTTTCCGCATTACTGGAGAGTGATCGATGCCATACAATTCGTGAGCTGGCCCGAGAGGCAGGATTAGTGCATATGACTGTGCTTTACATTCTGAAGGAATGCCTGGTCATGAAAAAAATTGCATCACGATGGGTTCTGCATGATTAGACAGAACCCCGGCAATGTGAAAGTTATGGTGATTCTCGTGTACAACTGTGATGATGTTATCCTAATGCATACCATTCCCCAACAGCAGACCGTCAACGTGCAGTATTCTGTTCATTTTTGGAACACAACCTGCGACCAGCTTTGGGAAAGAAGCAGCAACACTTTCTGCAAAACCCACCCATCATTTTGCAGGACAATGCTCAGCTGCATGCGGCACGAGCTGTGGCTGATTTGTTCGATCGATGGGGCTGAGAAGTGCTGTACCATCCACCATACTCCCTGGACTTAAGCCCTTGTGACTTCAAATTGATTCCTAAGATGGAGGAACCAATTTGTTGCAGTCGCTTCAGAACTGTTCCAGAGATTCTTCAGGTAATAGACTGCTCAATTTGAACTATCAACAAAACAGGCGCTGCTAAAGGTATCCTACGACTTCCACAATGCTGGTGACTACATTGAAGGACAGTAAAACTTCGAAACATGCATCTATTTTGTATCAGTTATAAATAAATAGTTGCCAATATTAAAGTTCCAACCCTTGTACACATTTGGTCTGAATTTGAGGAAACCATTAACAAATGAGTGGGGGACTTCAACACTGAAATTCAAGATACATAATTGGACATACAAGTGATGAGGATGTCTGCTGATCATTGAACTCTGAGCCTCCTCAAAGAACTTGACACGGGGGTCCAAGGAACACTGATCAATCTACGAGCAATGAAAACATTGGTACAAGCCATGCAGCATGGACTTGAGACTAGACTCGAAGCCTAAGCATAGTATGGAGGTCCTTGGGAACAGATGAGCCAGAGCACATAGGTTAAAGCTGCCAAGGTCTGATAGGTTCATGTCTTGGACCCTGTTTCATTACCGGTTCGAGGCTACTGTGGAGCACAATTGGGTAGACCAGAAAAAAAGCCACACAGCTACTGTCCATCCTGCTGGAAAAGGTGGTCATCCTGTGTAACATCCATGTAGGAGCAAGGTATGAAGACATATTGGTGCTCAAAGTCCTCTATGAGGACCACTAACTGGCTGCAGCATACCATTGCCAGCAGAAAGCTAGGACCCATCTTACTGACAAGTCTGTACAAGAGTTTGCTGCCGACTGTACCCTTGTTGGACTACCCCAGGACTTCATCTGGAGGGAAGTAGCTCATGCAATATTTGACAGGATAAGGGACCAAGAGATGAAGTTTCCCCTCAGGACACTGAATGAGGTCCTTAGACAGGCACTGTGGTTAGAAGGTTTGAAGGAGGCAGCCCGGCTGGCCACAAGGCTACAGAGCAGCAGGACTTGGTGACCCATATGCTGACAGTGTAGGAGCATTGACCATCTTAAGAGAGACAGTTGATGGATACCTTCAGAAGACCTTTCTTTTTGGATTTGGCTCTGTCAACAGACTTATTTGTATAGATACTCCATACGCAGTGGTTCTACCACATGTTTCAATCTTTTTGCCATCTTTTATTAACACAAGTTTACATTTACATTCAGCTCCTCTGCTGTTCTTCCCTACATTGGCCAATGTTTTTGTCATGGGGTGTATGCTTTATCTGTACAAATAATTGTGTTTATGAAGAAGAGTCAGGTACTCTATGGCATTGCAGAGCCAGTCACAAGGGCGGTCATGGATGTAACATGAAGGCCCCCCCTTGGAACAGGGGGAAATGATGATGCACCCATAGACTTCTCTAATATGAACAGCCTTAAGGAGGGAACAATGTGACATGATGCATGAAAGCCAGAATACTGGAGTCAAAGAAGTATCATAAAGACATCCATTGCTGTGCAACAGCTTGTTAATAACATTTCTGCAGTACTGAATAAGCACACAACAGTCAGTCCATGTTGATGCTATATAAAGAAAGCCAGGGAGACCCAGCGGGAAGAGTTCACTTGGGAAGATTTTATGATATGAGTCCCACAGGACCAAGCACCAAGAATGACTAGGCTGGTGAAGGCCAGCAGCAGTTTACCTGAACTGAACCAGAAGGGAGCTGTCAAGCACAGAAGTATTAGAAAGAATTCCTGTTGTTGGGGGCCATAACCAAGTAATGAGTACATTAAGGTACAACAGACCAGAAAGACTTGGAATATGCTGTAATTATTTGTAGATTGTGAATGATAGTAAAATTGTTGTAATTAATTGTAAGCATAATAATATCCATTAAATTCAATTGTCAATCTGAACCCTGTGTCTGGCCACTAATCTGTGAAAATAATCTGTATTGTAGCATGTAGAGCTGTTTCTAGGCAATGGTTTGATAAATATGTTCCTGCAGCAATGGATACACATGCAACATTAGAGGTGCTGTTGGAAACAGTGTTTTCTACTTCGTCCATGCAGAGGGGTTAGAAGGAGGATAACTGAAGCAGAGGAATAGATACTGTTAGAAGTCGTTACCAGGAAACTACTAGTGAAGACACTGTGGGCTGGCAGAGACTTTGTATGATTTCGTGTAACCAAGCTGTTAATAAATCCAATCATCCGAGCTACAACCCATCATTTCATCACACATACCCTCTACATATGACATATTTGGTGTCAGAAGTTGGTGGCTCGTATAGTATTGGATTCTTCAGCAGTGGTTACGACCTGAAACATGCCTCAATTTAGGAAGAATTGTTGGATTCACCTACCAAATTGTTATCCTACCAAAATAAAAATGGATAGGGAAGACATTCAGCTACTAATCGAAATGTTGGGAAAATTGGACGCCATCCAGATGAAGGCAGAGGCCAATAGGAAGACCAACAAAGAAGATTTCCTGGAAAGAATGGACGCCGACACAAAAGCCTGGCGAGAAAAGATGGCCGAAGAAACGGAAGCCATCAAAGCAAGCATGGCCGCCATGCGAGACAAGAGGGTGAAAGCCAATATGAATGCCTGGCAGGAGGAGACGACAGCCTGCCAAGATGCAATGGAAACAAACCCAAGAGAAAAAGAGGAGGAAGAGGAGCAGCAGAAGATTCCTAATGAAGAGGTTGCAGTGCATTCCCTAAGGGCATGCTGAAATGAGAGAATGGCCTACCAAGAAGAGATGGAGGCAGATGCAGAGAAGATTGAGCCCGACTCAGAAATGATGCAGTCCACAGTGGAGCATCAAGAGGTCCCCAAGGAAGATGCCGTTGTGAAACCGGTCAAAGGATGGAAGAAGTGGCATAGGGGCAAGAAACGAGCTGCAGGGCGACGTGAGGAGCCAAAGGAACTGACCCAAGGAGATTGTGGATCTCAGAGAATATTGGCTGCTGCCTGCAGGAAGGTGTCCCACCATGCAACAGTGGCATAGTGCAAGAGGAACTTCTTCATGAAATCTTGACCCAAAGAAATTGTATACTGTGAAAAGAAGTGACCACAGCCAGAAAGAAGATTACCCGCTCTGCAGGACACAGGTGTAAGGGATGAAGACGAAACAGAGCCAATGTCAGACCAAGAAGCCCGAAAGGAGGGATGTTCGGGAAGAGACTGTGGAAAGGCCTGGAATGCAACACTGGCATAAGGGACCAAGGCCTGAGACAGCAACTACAAGGCAGAAATGGAGTGAAGGACCTAGGTGGCAGACAGCTGCAATATCTGAAGAAGGTACAAGTGGAAAGTACAGGAAATTTTGACATGAATTTCAAGAAAACTACAAGACTGAATCAGTAAACATGCTTTCTGTGTGGTCAGGGTGGAAGCTACATAACAAAGAGTACTCGTCAGTGTTGATTCAGTATTGAGTATGAGTTACGAGCAGTATTCAGTATGAGTTGAGAGTGGCGGAAGCAAGCGAAGCAGATCAAGGAATACAGAAAATTGCCTGTGAAGATGTCAAGTGTGATGTAGAAGACTTCATGCATGTGACGGTGCGTGCAACAGTGGATTATGAGGTGTGTGTAACTCGGCAATAGAGCTGTAATTTGAGTGTAATTGAGAGAGTGTGTGTGTAACCAAGCTGTTAATAAATCCAATCATCTGAGCTAGAACCCATCATTTTGTCACGCATACCCTCTACATGTGACAGTAACATGAGATGCAAGCTCGATGCAGTGAGTCAAATAGCACTGAAGGGTCAATCATGTTGTAAGAGTTACTGGTTATGTAATTGTAAGAGTGTACATAGTGGCCAGTGGAATGGTAGTTTAAACACCTGGAATAAAATAATAAATTGAATTCAGGTGTCTAACACAGAAATGTATGTAGATCAGGTCTGGTTGTAGAGATTAAGTTCTTCTAGAATACTGGAAACAAAAAGGGATAAAATATGAAAGCAAAACACTAGGCATGATCTGAAAGTATAAATACTACAAGAAAAGGTGGTCAAAATCATACAGTAGTGTTGACACACATACACAGATTCCTTTCAGAACATGAAAATGAAGAGGCCGCTGAGTGACTGTTGGAAAATCAAAGTATCCATTAGGTATTTGCAAGAGTGAATTTTCATCTTGCTAGAAGAATTTCGAAAATTTTCTGGAATCAAGATCAGAAAGAATTTTCTCTATGAAACCAACTTTTTTACTGTAATCATAGTTTATGACACTAGCTCATTTTACACAGTGCACTAAAGTGCAATAATTTCCCCTTTTGATACCAGATCCTTTTTCAATGACAAGCTGTCAGAGATTATTGCATTTAAAAAATCAGTTCTAGGACTGTGTCTTTTTCACCATTGGTAGGAAGAGGGGGAGAGGTTTTGTTGACATGTTGATTTTTGCTAACATTGCCAACCAACACAATTGGTGGACCTGGTAATTTGCATGCTGCTATGCAAAATGAAAGTAGTCACCCAAAAATTCTAGAAGTCTGAGACTAGAAAATGAGTGTTCAAAATGATACTGAAATTTCATTCTCAATTTGGTATAAAAAACAGACTGGCACATACCTAATGTCTAGAAGCCAGTTTGGGTGATATTTTCTTCAATTTCATAAACTCAAGTCTCTCCTCCCTGATACTCTTAGTTCTTGACACACTCCTTTCACTAACTTCTGTACAATTTGAAACATTCAAATTTATTTTCATCACATCAAATTCAGTTTCATTAGCTCAGGCTTCTTCAGCACATGCATATATGAGTATTACACACCAAATAATTTCTTGTGCTTCACTATAAATAATTTTACTGCTTTTTTCCACAGGATTCCATGCTTGAAATAAAAATGTACTGCTTCCATGATTTATTTAATCCGTCTTGCAGTGCATACACTCATTTATTTCCTTCTCTCCCTCGCACTACATGTTTCGGCATAATAATGCCATCTTCATGTGCTTACTTATCCACGTCAAACCAGTTCATTGCATGCCATGTTCACACATTAAAATAACTAAAATATGTATCTATCATATACATTGTCAAACGTTAAAAATATTAAAATTGTTCAGGATACCACATCGCTACGTCGCCCCTCACTACGTCAGTCACGCCCATTCTCCTTTGTTGGAGCACTCCTTCACTATCTTGTGTGTCGTGCTTTTGTTGTGTCGTGCTCCTGCGACTGCGTGTGTT